CGACCCAACACTCCAAGCGTTTGACAAGTTGTTGATTGGCTGTCTGCTCTACTCCTGTATGAACTCGTTAACACCAGGTCACTTGTTCGTTTCCAGTACCAGAAGAAATAACTTACGGCGGTTACCAAAGGCGCCAGCTGTTTCCATCTTCGACGCATAATGAGACCATCAGGTATCGCAGTTGCACTTCAAGTCAGCATGCAATTTTTTCCAAAGGTGTTTGCAAACCTGGTTGCGTTCGCACCCAACAAAAACATGTCGGCGAGCCTCCAGGAGTTCCATAAAATGACTAGAGATTCAAAGTCCCGGATGACAGTTTCACTGGCTACATACCTGCTGATACTAACGTCTGGCGAATTCGCGATCAGTGATCTTCAACGGTGTTCAGTGGGCGCTGGATAACAGCGTACTTTGACGCGCATTCAGAACATCTGGCTTCGTCAGTTCTCTGCTGTCTATGCGCTCACAGAGTCGTTGCGGATGCCTCCTGAAATGCACCCGCAGATGAACACACACGGGGGCATGGCCAGTGTCCACACGTGCTATAAATCGAGCGACAGTTTCAGACACAGCCTCTCTATAGGTAACTGATCACGATGTGATCAATTCGCATCCATGGCTAGTGGGCACTGTGCCACCCTCCGCCGGAAGTTAGTGCTCGCGAGAAATAGACGACCATCTTCAGTAATTACCATTAAGCACACTATGTTGGCCGCCCAGATGCAGTTCATCGGCAGGCGTTTTTCCAAATTCAGCGTTCAGATCACCAACCAAACAATACAGTATCCGTGCTTTTGCGATAAAAAAAACGAACTAATTCCATTGATGATAAAAGTCTTTTTGCAATGAGTCAGCACTACATTTTGTGACGTAGTGAGTAGCATTGACAAACAGGTACCTCCAGTGAATTCGAACGTTTGAACTAATGGGCCAATATGATGGCGTACATCCGGTTGTTGACTGGCGTCCAATCGATCAGGGTAGCCTCGGTCGGGCGCTCACGGCAATTTCCAAACAGGCTTTACCGGCAGTTGGGAGCAATCGATTCAACAGACATAGAGCCAAACAAAACGATGGAAATCACAAAAAGAAAAAAAAGGTTAACACGGTGTCATCATCATGGTACATTAAATGAAGGTGAGCAAACACACGTCAGCTAGTGCTACAATAAAAGAAGAAAACGGTGCACTTTTGCGAGGTGGCACACGCCATTTTCTAATATTTTTGTCGTTTCCAATCGGTAAGCATCCAAATCTAAAGTTGTCGTACACCGCTGACAGCGAATAACGACAAAAGCCTGCCATACACCCTCACTCTGACGGAGATGTGGAAATACAGTGCGCGTATGATGGGTGAACTTTTCTGGGACGGCGTTCCTTAGCAAACAAAGCCATAGTGCAGGTTGATCAACCGAGTCGAATGCGACACGGATGTCCAGGAATGTAACGATGGTAGTCCTCTGGTAAAGATGGCAGTGGTACAGGATTTGACGGAGAGTGAATATCTGATCTATACACTCGCGCCCAAGTCGGAAGCCAGCTTGTTCTCCCCGGTGCTGCGATTCGCGAATTGGAGATTGTCTACGGAGTAGAACAGATGCCAATAGCTTGGAAGCGACTGAAATGAGACTAATCCCCCGGTGATTAGTGCATGAGGTGTGAGTATGCTATTTAAAAATCGGGACAATAACTGACTCGCCCCAGGAAGAAGGGACCTTTTCTTCATGCCAGATTTTGGAGAACAATGAGGTTAGCTGGCTAATGATAACCGAGCCTACATATTTGAACAGCTCCAGAAGAAGTCCGCCTAAATTGTTTCAAGTGTCGAATCGCAAGACAAACTTCCACTTCGCTGGGTGGATCAAGTGTGGACGACCCAGGGTGGGCAGCTAGGCTCGTAGAGCATATAAGTGGACGGTGAAGGCCAATTGAACTGAGAATAAAAATGTTGAGCTCATCGATCCAAGCGTCTCTGTAAGTTAACGATTGGCGAACCATCCGCTTCGAAAATTGTCTCACTGACACCAGACTTTACGTACCCGGTGGATCGAATTAGTTGAAATATCTTGCGAATATTGTCAGAGACAGCAGCGGCTTCCATTTCCGAAGCACGCTGGGACCACCAGACTTCACGGTCACTGTGTAGGCTTTGTCGGAGCTGCCGACTAACAGAACGGCGCATTTAATTATGAGTAGGTTCCGCTGGGATATTTCTGCAGCGCGTTGAGATCCAAGCCTTAATAGGGTGCTGAGTAAGACCACAGACTGACTGCCAGGAACAGACCATGGTCCTCTGTATGAACATACAGAGTTCATCAATATCACGCGGTGAGTCGCAGCGAGTGCACCGACCAGAGATGCTTGAAAGCTCTGCTGAACCGAGACAGTAGAGAGTTTATTTGTGTCTACCTTGGTGTGCTCTGCTTTTGGGGACCCTCCGAAACTCATGCAGATGTTCGCACAGGCGAGAGCATGATCTGAGTTAAGAAAAGTGGACCAGATGGACCTGCAATCCTTTACACTACCCCACCATCTGAAACTGATTGCGAGATGATCAATTTGAGATCATGGTTAAGACGAAAAAGAGGGTCGCCAAGTAGCGGAACGTCTCTTCCAATGCTGAGAGCTGCAGCTCGAGAGAAACAGATGCTCATCCTCGCATAGTGTGAGAAGTTTCTCTCCATTATCTGAGCGGCTCCCATCGAGAGCAAATTGGCCGTCCGTCTGGTTTTCTTACCACTTCTATACTACTGAGTAAAATTATCAAAAGGAGTATCAAAAGCTAAGTAACGAGTACAGGAACGCCACCGGTTTAGTGACTATGCTACATCCGATAGGATGACCAACACCGATGTAAATGGACACGAGGATCCCACCCGGCAAGGTAACAAGAAAGACCATTTCGGATGGGTTCAAAATGGTCTTTCATTGTATCGTTTACAGATCACGACGAGGTACCACTACCCAACTATTAAACCGAGAATGCCACAAATATAAATATCCAAAAGTGTATGAATTTACCTCAGGTTACCAGAAAATCTTTGGAAACATCTGCGATAGGAAGGAAGCGTCGTCAGCCATCCGCAACTACTACACCACGGCTCCGGCAACCACCAAACAAGGATGATACCGGTCATGCAGCGTAGTGTTTGGAGCGAAATCGAAACATCTCGGAGATGGTTACAATTATACCAGGTCATATATAGATAGCACCATCTGCAGATATGTTGGATGGATGTTTTATTCGATCGGAATTCATCAGTAGCGAACATCCGGAACCAACGACCGACTATGTTGTAAGCAATGACGAACGCCGAAACAGTGACAGCCGTAGGACTGAGTTTAGTCATAAGTGAAGGGTTAGAAACTTTTCTAACTCCACTACTACTTACCTACAATGAAAATGTCTGCCGCTGCCCCATTCTTCGTGCCCCTACAGTACAAGACGGTGGGGCAAGATCAGCAGCTTCTCAGCGTTTCCACAACTTCGCGACTACAAAAAAATCTGTCCGCTCACACGTCCGGACGTGGCCACTGTGATCCGCTTGCGAATTCAGAAGAGAACTTGATTCCGTTCGGGCATGGTGTGTGTGTGTGTGTGTGTGTGAAACGGAAGTTGATTCGCTCTTCTTTAACCTACCCCCACCCGGCATTAGCGGTGGACATTAAATTAGGCGGTGATTGTGTGCGCCAAAGAAACACGTCGCGTAGAATTGCGCGAAAACACCTACTACAAGGCGGAAATCAGAATTCGGGTTATGGAGGCTGATGAGGGATTGGCCACAGCGGCACCAAGACACTCTGCGTATGCCAACTCGCTGTCCAGTGAGTTTGGTGATGTTGAGGGAGCCCAAAACAGAAGCAACCAAGGAATACTGAAGGTCATTTGGCTTCGTTCCTCGGATAAGGTGCAGCCATGCGGTCCACGCCTATACTGCGTCAGACTACATCAAACACAGTGTACGTACCAGTGATAAGGTGTTGGAGTAATCAAGCTTTAACCAAACAGCGAAACGAAAACGTACAAACAAGCTGATTGCATTACTTTTCAAGTAGGGTAGCTTCTGGTCCCAACATGGCTATTGTCTAACTAAAGGAGAAAGCAATTTCCATCGTGAATACAAATTCAGTCCAAATGACAGTTATCTATTACGGTCCTTTTACGAGCTTCCGTTCCCTATTAAACCATCACAATAGTGATGAGGCTCGATATCTTGGTATGTTTGCAATCGATCGAGAAATCGTCAATTCAGAAAGTATGCTGGACGGCCGGTTTATGTGCCCAATGAGTCTGAATACTGGTAGCTCGCGTTAGCGGTTGTAGGCAAAAGTGGTTCACCGAGCAGTACAGTTTGACTGCAAATGTTTCGGCACCAATCAAGGTAGCGCCTTCAGTGAGTAATAGCAAGTAGCTTATCAGCAAGTACTGAGTCTTGAGTAAATCCGTCTCTGGATCCATTCTGGGTTTTGTTGGAAGTGTACGATTTTCCTCTGAAAACTACCAGATACACATTAGATAGGAAAAGGAGAGAGGGCTTCTAAAAACTTTGATATTTTAAGCATTTCGTTATACTGACGTTCATCGTAGCAACATTTCGTAGTACAGAGACGGGGACCAGGGGACTGAAGAGACTGTCAGACAGTGCAATTGCATTTCCATGCCTTGCATCTAGCTGCTCACGTTCCAACTAGAAAAATTGTACTCCACGTTTTCCTAAACTAAATATCTTCGTATTCGATTCACTTTCTAGCACATTTTGCCTATTCTGGTAGCTGGATTCACCGTACTTCGGTATGCGAATCGTAGATGTCTAACCGAGCTGAGTTGAACTCAACTAATCGGCAGAAATCAGCGAAAACAAATCAACTGAGGAGAGACCAGTGGGAAGCAGGTCGAAGATCTTTCAGTACATACCACACGAAGCTGCTATAACTGGGGACCGCAAACTAGATAGCAATATCAAAACATGAAAGTGAGACCAGGTGCATCATCAGACCCACCGCTTATGGTCGTGCCGACCAAGTTCATTGCGCCATTCAGAAAGAGGAAGACGCCCAATCCGGCAGCCCATAGCTGTTCACCAACTGTCTGCATCAAAATCTGTGGGTACAACACATACAGACCACCGTAGGAGATACCCGTCAGAAAGCAGGCGGCGCCCATTGTAATTCCGATGGGAAACTGGAAGAATGAAACGGACGAAGATACTTGAGTTGCCAGTTGATCGAATGGAAGCAATGCGATCAACAGAGTGGTCAAACCATTCCATGCGAGAACTCCGGCGAACAGTAAAAAACAGCGCGAACGAGCCTGCACGTGACGAAAGAATCGGGAGCAAGGGTTGTGGATAGGTACAGCGAGTTCCGAACCAGGTTCAGGAGAACTGTGCTTAGACAAGCAATTGCAGAAGCGCGAAGTGACAAGTCCGAAGAAAATCTGACCTGCATAGAGAAAGAATAGGGCCCAGAAGAAAGGCGATGTAAACATCCAAAGTAATGAGTTTATGTGTTAAGTGAAAGAAACATAACCTAGAGATACACAAGAGCGCTGTCAAATGAAATGAGAATGCGTTGTTCTATGATAAAAAGTGGCATTCATGGGTATTAATGCAGATCCGGGGTGGCCGCAATGTTTTTTTCGCCAGAAACTGTCGGGGTTTGATCATGGGTGTGAGATGGCTGTTGGACGCCAAAAGCTATGGTACAGTTAAGTTGGATGCAAGCTCAGGCTCCGGCACATTCGGGTTAGTCATAACGAGCAAAGTAGTTACTTTAAAATTGGACATTGGGCAAAACACATTGGACGTTTTGCAAATCAAAATGGACATTTCGGAAAAGACATTAGGCGTTTTACAAAACAAATTGGATACTCCACAAACCAAATTTGGCATACTATATGGTAAAAAGAAAATAAGCAGTTTGCTAGCAAGAAAGTAAAGCGATGTTCAGACCACATTGTAGTCATACTAATGCAATCGAATTGCGTAAGCAACAGGTAACACGGCAAATCGTGTACCACGATCAGATGGATCAAAGGCGGTGAGTGAGTGTCCCCCTATCATCTCACCATCAACCTTCGAGCAGATTATGTGCTTGTGCCTTCACGCACGACTTGATGTAGCTGCGTGACTATTGCAAAGTCAGACTCCCTGATCGCGTAGTCTATTTTCACTTAAACAGATGTTACCTAGCCTTGGAGTGTCATGGTGAAGCACTCATTTTGTGAATGAATTGCGATGCACAACCTCAATGTGTACCGCGATTCCCACTGAAGTACACTTTAGCAAATTCGATCACTGGGACAGTAAGTGATGTAGCTGATAGGCGGTGACCTAGTAGTCTCTTGTCACTATTCTATGAACCTTCGCGTACTTTCTGTGGTATGTGGGGGAACCAATGCATGGTGTAGGCTATCATGACTCCGCCAAACCCAAATCAGAAAATGTAGATTGTGAGATGATGTCGCTATTTCGTGCATTCTTATCAGTCACAAAACGTGCAACAATACGTTCGTTTACATATCATTGTTGTATGTTTTGTGATTGACAAGAATGCACGAAATGGTGACGTTATCGGACCATCTACGTCTTCTGATTTTCCTGTTTATAAGTGGTTAGATTGCAAAAGTGGACCACATTCACCATAACAAAACGAAGTTTTGAGTAAAGATGGATTAGAGGGAGCAAACGAATTACACGGAACAGATCCGGATTTTGAGCGGTTCTCCGAGCTAAGTGATTATTGTGCAGACGTTTCGTTGCCTGACTAGGCAACATCATCAGTGTGGCTTCAGGGGCCTGGTTCGCAGTGCCTCCTAAGTGACTTCAATGCCCAAGTGCTTATTGACCGAGTTCTAATTTGAATGCCAGACTTCAATGAACGCACGTGATTGCCGGCTTTTAGCCCTTCCGAGGATACTGGCATGCTCTATGTCGAACTGATGGTTCTCAGCATTCATATGCCATATGTTCAGAATGGCAGGGTCGCTATGTGATTCCCGCTCAGACAAGGGCCGGCTCATATTTTTCATGCAAGACTAGAAGCTGAATCATTGAAGGTTCCGACCATTACTATCAACATATGGACGATATCTTACGCTTGAGAAATAAGGATATCAACGTAAAATATAGTGGTATAATTTAAGAATGAGCACCAGACAATCCAGTTCACCTACAAAGTTGAACAAGTGAGGAAACTCGAAGTTTTGGATATATTCCTGAGAGGAGAAGAACTGATGTTTCACGACTAAAGTGGATGAACAGAAGGAAAAAGAGGACGTGTCAGTGCACAAATTGTAATACATTTGCACTGCATGATTACAAGCGCAACCTAGTACGCTATCTCATCTTAATAGAACCAAAGGTATACACAGAAAAGGCTCTGGTGGATGAGACAAAATCGATGCAGAATAAGTTGTGCAAAAATGCTTTTCCCGAAAGATTCGTCTAGCGCAACATGCAACTCAGAATACCATCGAAAGTTAAACTAATTGAAAAGAAAGTCTGTTTAAAAAGTGACACAGATGCTGAGATCATAACAAGAAAACTCAGCTAATTCATCATCGTCACTCCCAATCAGAAGGCTTAGGCTAATCTGGAAAAGCACCCGACGCCCGCATTTTGACATTCTGGGTCCCGTCAGTTGTGTGCCTCCCAGCGGACCCCTGCGGGGTTCCGCCCCCATGAGTTCAGGATGTCAGCAGATAGTGCCACTTCGCCATGGGTGACAACCGCGGATCGGTATGATTAACATTTGACTAGGATAAAGCCCGGCTCAACTTCCACTGCCATGCCAGTTACGAACTGTGCAGAAGACAGTGGCTAGCCTCACGAGCTAGGACTTTTCGCATAGCGCCTATGTACCACATAGGAACTAGAAGCTATACGGACAGATTTTATATTACTGATGAGTAGTAGTGAGGAGTTTGGTATAATTCAGCTAATTCATCATCGTCACTCCCAATCAACAGGTTTAGGCTAGTCTGGAAAAGCACCCGAAGCCCACGTTTCGACATTCTGGGTCTCGTCAGCGGTGCGCCTCCCAGCGGACCCCTGCCGGATTCCGCTCCTATGACTTAAGGATGCCAACAGCTAGTGTCACTTCGCCATGGGTGACTGCCGCGGACCCGCGTGATTGACAGTCGACTATGATATAGCCCGGCTCATCTGATGAATTAGCTGAATTATGCCAAAATCCTCACTACTACACATCAGTAACAAGAAAATTGACATAATCGATAAGGAACACGTTGCCGGCTGCCGAATTGCGATGTATCCTCGCCAGAAACTAGCAGAGTCCTGTGTGCAACAAGGATGGACTACTGAAGCCGACCACTCCTTAGGTAATCTGTCGATTTGAGTGCACTTGTGGTCCAATATATATTAGTCGCCCAGTAGAAGATAGTCCTAAACGGTTGGCGGATGGGGGCACCGAAAGTCTGACAAGAGCAAATTCTGTCCCACCTGTTCGAATCAGGTCAGTAGAGTTACCTCCCAAATGCGTTTGCTATGGTATAGCAGATTCCCGTTCCCTTGTATAATAAGCTTATGTGATTTGTCCCGACCCGAAGAGCAAGCTGGATTTCGTCGAGGTCGTAGCTGCATCGACCACATTTTCACCTTGCGTCAGTTGTTGGAGCACCGTCACATATATTGGCACCCCACCGTTTGCGTGCTCCTCGACATCAAAGGTGCCTTCGATTCAGTTGATAGACTTGCACTTTGGGACTGTCTACTCAGGAAAGGTGTACCTGAGAAATATGGGAATATTATCCGAGCATTATATACGGGTAGCTCGGGCAGAGTGAGGGCTTACGGTAAGTTGTCGTCGCCCTTTAATATCTCCAGCGGCGTGAGAGAAGGATGCCCGCTGTCACCTTTCCTTTTCAACTTCGCTGTTGACGAAGTCATGGAAATCGCGTTTACAGGACACGACTCAGAAGGTGTGGAGCTACTCTCAGGAGAACGACTTCTTGATTTAGAGTATGCTGATGATATTGCCCTCATCTGTGACAGCTCACAAACGTGCCAAACGGCACTGGACAGATTAGCACTAGCTGTCCGTCACTTCGGGCTTTGCTTCGCTCCCTCGAAGTGCAAAGCGCTCCTCCAATATTGGTCTGGACCGCCTCCTACGCTGACCTTTGGAGGGGATCAGCTAGAAGTCGTTCAGAAATTCAACTACCTGGGAAGTTGTATCAGCGCCCGTGGGATTGAAGATGAGATCACGAATCGTATAGCAAAAGCTCGGGGCGCTATTGCTAACCTTCGCCACTTATGGCGCCGGCGCGACATCACTCTTGCCCTGAAGGGTAGAGTGTACAATGCAGCGGTACGTCCGACCCTACTGTACGGTTGTGAAACCTGGACGCTTAAAGCAGCGGACCTAAGGAGGCTAGTTACGTTCGACCACCGGTGCCTTCATAATTTAGCTCACATCTGGTGGGAACACCGCGTGAGCAACGAGCGTGTTCGACGCCTTGTATATGGCACAGGAAAAGGAACTGAACCGCTCAGCACCGTTATTTCACGCACCAGGCTCCGATGGCTCGGCCACGTGTTACGCATACCAGCCGACCGACTCCCGCGATGTGAGTTGTTTGCGCGCTGCGGGTGTGGATGGAAGAAGAGGAGGGGTGGCCAAGCGATGACTTGGTCCAGAGGAATGAAGACCCTCACTTCTGAGCTGGCCTCGGTTGGAGCGTCTCGGCTCCCTGGTTGGGGTCCGAAAGACGATGAACACGTTTGGTTGGACACACTTGCTGATATGGCTAAAAGCCGACCTCAGTGTCGTTCGTGCTGTGAGTTTCTTTGTCCCACCCCATCCCTCTTAGCCTACCCTCCAACCACGATCTCATTACTTAGCCTTATATAATTTTGCATAATAATTTTTTTATGCACAGTAGCCGGCTGGTACCTTACCGGAACGATGCCCATCCGTTACCGGTCGCTCAGCCAGCTTCCACCAGTTTTTTTTCTCTCCTTTTTTTCTTTGTATTGCGGCACAGTAGCTGAGGTGTTCCCCACCTCTAGCTAACGTGTATGATGAGGATGAGGATGAGGATGAGGATGAGGATGACGATGAGGATGAGGATGACGATGAGGATGACGATGACGATGACGATGAGGATGACGATGATGATGATGATGATGATGATGATGATGATGATGATGATGATGAGGATGAGGATGAGGATGATGAGGATGATGAGGATGAGGATGAGGATGAGGATGAGGATGATGAGGATGATGAGGATGATGAGGATGATGAGGATGAGGATGAGGATGATGAGGATGATGAGGATGATGAGGATGATGAGGATGAGGATGATGAGGATGATGAGGATGATGAGGATGATGAGGATGATGAGGATGATGAGGATGATGAGGATGATGAGGATGAGGATGAGGATGAGGATGAGGATGAGGATGAGGATGAGGATG